TACAAAGGCACGTATTTCCCATGTATATACATACTCGGCCCCCCTATCTCAATGTTGATTATGGAAAAAGGCCCATGTAAAGCCCACTAGCGGCCAGGTAGGGCGCTGCGTTCTCCTGTGATGATTAGCCTGTAAGTGGATTTCGCTCCCAAAAAAAGCCTGTACGTGTATTAGTACCCAGAAATTAGTCGCCGCCGTTCCGTGCCCTCGGCTGCCCGGCCTCTGCTCTCCCTGCCCTGCTGTGATCTCGATCCTATTCGCACGGCGACGGCGCGACACTGCCTTCTTCACTTGTTAAATCTTCCGGCTGCAACCAACAGGAACTAGCCGAGTACCCAAGATTTAACACACATCAGTACATCACACAATCAACTAATCTCAATTCTCATCATGTATCATCAGATTTTTGTTGTCTACTTGTTTTGATTGTGTGATTAGCGATGCTATGATTCTATGAACAGTTCCTATATTATATGTGTACTAGAAATTATCGTGGTCTGATGCAAATTACCTTGTATGAGTTATTATTTGGGATGCAATTTTTTCCTATGTCAAACTACAATATAGCTAATTGTGAAATTGCAATTCAGCAGATATGAAGAGAAAAGCGCTGTCATACACCGTTAAGATTAATTCATTCTTTAGGCTGGTTGCTTCAAGTTCTCAACCTAGTGAAATTTTTAATGACGCTGATATGTTGGACATAGTAAATGTTGCAGAACAAGAACAAAATTGGCTTATCATAAAGACCTTGGTAAACATTGTCAAATTTGAGAGCTGCCACTGGACAAGGAAGATGAAGGTCGGCATTTTTATATATCCGAGGAACCATATCTGCCGAAAAGTGCCCCGAAACACTCTAAACAGTAATTTATCATTTAAGTGCCGCCAAATGGGATATGACTTACTTCGGTGTTCCATGGTCAGATACATTGAAAAAATTAGTAGGTAATTTCTCTTCCAATGAAATTATTAAATTTTCTCATCTTATTGGCAATTGTAGAGCAAAATTTAAACTCGTACAATATTTTATAGTCTGGCGCATTATTATAGTATGATGATAGTTTTTTTCAGTCAAGAAAAAAATATATGAACTTGACTTGGCCCCCCCTATACCAAAATCCTGGCTCCACCCCTGAGGGAGAGGTTGGTGAAGAGGGCTCCAACAGCAGCACGACGGCGTGGTGGTGATGAAGCTGCAGTACTCCGACAAGGCTTCGCCAAGCTCTTATGGAGGAGGAGAGGTGTTGGGGAGGGGAGGGGCTGCGCCTTGGATGTTGTGTGCAGCCCTCCCCTCATCTCTCTATTTATAGGGGAAAGGGGAAGGGGGCCGCCCCCCTCTAGATGAGATCTAGAGGGGGGGAGATCTAGAGGGGGGGCGGCGGCCAAGGGGAGGGGGGCTTGCCCCCCAAGCAAGGGGGCGCCCCCCTTAGGGTTTCCCCCAACCCTAGGCGCATGGGTCCTAGGGGGGTGTGGCGCCCCAACCCACTT